GACAGGATTAAGGCTTACTGTGAAAAACTTGGCTTCTATTATACTATTTTAGATGCGGGTTTTTGCGTTTTTGATTGCGTTTTAATAGGGTACGTCAACACAATGTACACAAAGAAGGGATTTTTCGACATTCCCCCGCGGGGGAGAGGGACAGGATTAAGGCTTACTGTGAAGAACTTGGCTTCTATTATACTATTTTAGATGCGGGTTTTTGCGTTTTTGATTGCGTTTTAATAGGGTTCGTAAAGAGAATGTACACTAAGAAAAAATTTTTCGAAAAATTTTCCCCCAAGGAAGAAGTGTTATACATTTATAATAGATACATTTTGAGCCACAACAAGGCGTGGTGGGGTCTGCTAGTTATAACTAAAAATACAACAATTAAGACATTTAAATGTGTTTATAATCGATATTTAGATAATTATTCAATAAATTAAGTAACCGAGATAAAAACTAAAATAACTTTCATCCAGAATTTTTTGAATTTTGATTTTTTAATGCAAAATTTTATTTTCATTTTTATCTATAAAATTATTAATGGTTAAAAAATGTCATAGTAAAATATTTTAAAGCCAAACTGGAAATTCTGTAAAATAAGTTGATTCTAACATTTAATAAATTAAGTAATTTGAAATAAATAAAATTAAATAATATAAAATTTAAGCATATACTTTTACCTATCTGTCTCTGTTATGCACACTAGAGTCGTTTATCCGAATCAATTGGGGATTGGGGTTTTTCGGATAACCGATTATGTACGAAAAAATATATTAATCTATCCCATGTTAAAATTTTTCTCCGATGCGTGTCGCTTCGCATTGAATTTTCGTTGATGTTAAGCCTAACGAAAATTTTTATAATAGTAATCTTGGCTATTGTATCATTAAAAATTATTTCTTTAGTTTGCACAAGCAAAATAAATATATTGAAAAATATAAAACCAAAAAAATTATATTTCAGAAGTTAATCTAGTATCAAAAACGTTCCAATTCAGCATGACACAGTCCTCAGAAAAACGTCATACAAAGCAAGCAAAACTCACCACATACAATGGCAAAAAAGCCTCAATCAAATACTGGTGCATCCTTAAGTACCCTCTCATGGTCATGCCAGTTCCTCCAGCTAAAATACTTCACACCAACAAAATTAATATTGGAAGTAGCCCAAGACATAGCCAAATATTGTAGTACCACAGCACTAGCAGAAATTTGAATTTGCCAACTAGAATGCTTTTGATTAACTGATGTTTCGGTTGATCTGTATTCGGATAATCGATGCTCTACTGTATTTATATGCTATGTAACTTAGAAAGATCTACACTACACAACACCGGATTAAAGTTAATTATGTATCTCAAAACCTGTTACTAGTGTGAAATTAACATCAAAAAACGAAAAAACAGATTTCCACAAACATTTTCAAACCTCCAATGATTATTCTTCAGGTGGCGACGAATTTCTGTTAGAATGCAATTAAATAAGAACATTATTCGAAATTCGCATATACATTACCTGATGACAGATGATATCTCATTAGGCATGCGCGCTATAGATGGTAGCAATTGATGAGAATTTACAGTTCTTTGTCCATTAGTGCTTGCCATGCTATGGACAGATTTAATTCCTCTTTGTGGTTGATACAGTTGTTGTTAAGGCTGGATTTGTAGATATATAAGGCCTCCAACCACCTTAGATGTTCTGTGTGTGGTAAGGTGAGGAAAATTCCCACCTGGTTAAAATCCGGCTCTATGTCAGGATCACTGGCATAGAGCTGGAGTCAGGATCATTTAATGGCATTATAACAGAAATTCGTCACCACCTGAAGAAGAACCGTTGGCAGTTTGAAAACATTTATGGAAATCTGTTTTTCGTTTTTTGTTGTTAATTTCACACCAGTAACAGGCTTTGAGGTACGTAATTAACTTAGAAAGGATGCTGTAGTGAGTTTATTATTGCGAATTGGAAGTACAGTAGACCCCCCTATAACACTTAGATACGTTCCACGTTATTTGAATTTCACGTTGTAGGAATCTTTAAATACATGAGCCAATCACAGCCCGACACGTGTGAAGTTTACGGACTACGGCTGTTTGAAAGGTTTTCTTCCATAAAATTAATCNCATACAAATAATAATGATAAATGATGATAAAATAAAAAGCTTGTGTTTTGTTTGTAAATTGCTTATTTTTTCATTACATTGAAGTTGTGGATTCTATCAAACATTTTTCTACAGGATGTATGTACCGTATTTTTTTAATGTGGCAGTCTTTGAAGCATAACAATTGTGCAAAAAGAGGGCTAGATGTACTCAATGTTAATAGTAAATGCTGTTTTATTATGTCGATATTCCACACTAAAAAATGTGAGGGTCAGGGAATTTGGACAAAGTTGGTCAGGGAAAGTCAGTGAATTCAAAACAAAAATTTGAGTAAGAACCCTGTACGTAGATGGTTGCTCGAGTAGCTATTTGATACATAATTATCTGGCCTTTGCTGTGGAGGATTTGTGTAGAAATATAATTTTGATTCATAATTTATTATGAGTGACTCCACTTAAGGCAGCTTTTCTCAGTGTGTGATTCACGAATATAGGACAGGTGGTCCACATGCAGATTTAAATTAATAAACATGAAATTTTGTTCAATAATGATTCACTTTTAACAGTTCATTTTATTGGTCCTTAGGCATAAAAAGGATGAGAAACTCTGGGTTAAGGTATTTTTTTATTTTTTTATGTATTGTAGTGACTGCAGTACTAACTTGATCTGTTTAAATGGTCAAAAGTGGGGTTAATCCACACTGTCAACGTGCTTGGTGTTAGGTGCTAATATATAACAAGTTACTAATGCACACTTTATTTTTATTGGTAATTTTTTGGTGGTTGTTGTTGCATGTTGAAATTGATTTTAATTTACGTTAATTGCAATATTACTGTTAATACTGTAACTGTAATTGTTTTGTAGGTAAACCACTTCCAGATGATATCACTTCTTTATCTTCTGATGCAGATCTTGTGTACACGGCTTGCAAAGACCAAATATATGCCTGGAAAAGAGGAATTGAGGTATTTATATTATATTATTATTATATTTTTTGACATTTAAGAATTTTTTTTTTTATTAAGCAGAGGAATATTAACATTTATTGGAGCAAATAAAACTATACAAAAACAATTTATGCTGTACAATTTTTTGTTTTCAGAAACACATGCAGATGCTTTTACGTACTACTTTCAGCTGTGCTGTTTAATAAATGTTAGATAAATGAAAGAAAATAAATGTTTTTGGTCACTTTAGTGGCACTCCTCAGGTTACTAAAACTTTTTTACACTTTTAAATGAGCTTATACATTTGATAAAAGAATGTTTTACCAGCAAACTTTTTACATAAATTCAAATGACATAAACATTTGAAATATGGAACATTCTAACTTTTGATGAAGATATATAAATTAAATATTTCAGTTAAAGATTACAACACATTTCTTTTTTAAGAGAGAAACATAAAATTTAATATAAGACTAGCATTGCTTGCAGCAGATTTAGTTTGTCTGTTATTAATCACCCCCCCCTTTTTTGCACCTGCTTATAAATTTTAATGCCCTCTGCTGTTTTAAAGTTTTGAACATCATAAAATATTTTGTATTATTTTTGCCTCTCTCCTTTAGGAGGCAGATTGAATCTCTGCTAGACTTAACCTCTGTTGGTTTTTGATTGAATGTTATGTTTTTCCTATAAAAAAAATGTTGTAATCTTTAATTTTGAAATATGTTATAAGTCATTCAAACTTATGTAAAAAATTTGTTGATAAAGAATACTTTTATTGAACATGCAAGCCAATTGAAAGGTATAAAAAAGTTTAGTGGTCTTCCTCAGGTTACTAAAAGTGGATATAAAACATTTGTTTTCTTTCATTTATGTAATGTTTATTAAAAATCAGTGCTGTAAGTAAGTACATAAGTGTTTGTGTGTGTTTCCTGAAGTGTTCTGGCTTTTGGGAGTTGTCAAGTCATCTTTTTTTTCAAGAACTTGTTTTTTGGAATAGTTCATTTTTAACAAAATTCAAAATTATTTGCAATATGGTCTTGTTTTATGTGGTGAATTTGTGTTGGCAAGTACCACATAAAATGAAATTGTGTGAATTTGTGCTCTACCTCAAGTGATCTCAGATGATTGCCTAGACCAGGTGGCCAAGTGATTCGAGTGGCATTTTACTGCCATAGGCTGCCTCTGCCACAATTACAATGCATTACAATGTCAATCTGAAATCTCCTCCACCTAACATTGAAAAACAAAACACTAAAACATACCTATATGTAAGTAAAACTATTATATCAAAATGTAGAATGCTTAAAACATTGCTTTCTGATAAACAAATCGTCACTTTGTATGCAGTAATCATTCTAGGGATATTCGTGATGGAAAGTTTTTTTTGATTTTTGAATAGCACCGTCCTATGAAGATATTTGAGCCGTGAACATGCATTTTGACAAAAGAATTTGCAATTCTTATTTTCTCTTTATTAGATCACTTTATTGATTGGCAACTTCTCTTTTTTGAGGATGTTTTCTTGTCCTATTTTAAACTGCTAAATGGATCTGGCCCTCTACACATGTTGACAATTGTTAAATGTTTCTTTGAGGTTGTTTTCTATTAAGTCATTGGCTTTTGCCACAGAACCCAGATTTATGAAAATAAGGTCGGGAAAAGCGCTACTTTTGTGACCTAAGAAAGTCGCAAAAGCCAGTATAACAATTAAAACTATATACTGCAAATACTACAGTAATTACAGAAAGGATAATCCTGTTGTTTAAGCTTAATTGTTTATCAACTGTGTGTATCAAATATATTTATTAATCTAGTTTGTGATAAATGCAGCTTTGAAATAATAAATTTATATTGCATTAAAGAATTTTATTTTAGTTGAAATATCACTATGAGGGACACAAGAGCAATGTTTATATCATTATGCCTTTTGATAAACATCTGCTATCTGTGGACGAGGACGGCACCGTAATTATATGGGAAATTGAATCGCAAGGTAAAATAATATTTTTATGAAATGTTTAACTATAAATAAGCATAATTTAGATTTAACTTTTATTAAATAATAGGATATAATTCCAATTCAAACCAATTTTTCTGACTTTGTAGGAATCCCAAGTAGTATTATAATTTTGTTAGGTCTTCTGGTTAAATTTTGTACAGTCTAATGAATAGATAAATGTTATGTTTCTTTGGTACAGTAATACCTCGACTTATGCTACCCCAACTTACGTGAATCCGGAGTTACACGATTTTCAAATCTCCTCGATTCGTGTTTTGTTTGAGCACTACGCAACTCTCGATTACTTACTCCCCCCACACTATTGTTTAGCTTACATGTTCGGACGTGCCGCGCAGAATCGACACATAGCTACATACAATTTATTTTGTGTTATTTATTTCTGTGTTTGTTATATCTACAGAGACTTGAGAGACTTCATGTGATGATTTCTTGTAACCGTGAACAAATCAAAAGACGAGATAAGATTAACAAGAACATTTATTAGTTTACATACATCCGATTTGGATTTTACACAAATTGCGAAATTATACCCCAACATACGTGAATTTGACTTACGCAGTTATCGCTCGGTCCCACCTATCACGTAAGTTCGGGGTATTACTGTATCTGTTTTTAATTTAAAGAATGACCAAGACTATTAAAATAACTTTGTAAATCTTTAATCATTTTAGATGAACAATATATCTATCTTCAGGCTACAATTAAAATAATTACAGGTGTATAAGGTAAAGGTATAAAAATTTAAAAATATACAATGTGAAAACTCAAACCTGTTTGTTTACAATGAGGTAAATTCACTCCTTCAACAGATTCATATGTTCTTTGAATCTAAAGCATTTTTTTTTCTAAATAAAATTTAAACATTATTTTTATTATAGTACATCTTTATTTATTACAATGCATAAATCACAAACTGTTCATATCTTAATCTTACTGCTGCTTTGTGTTCCTTCAGTTTTATTCCTAATGATCTACCAGTGTCTCTGACATTGTATACTTTTTGTTACAAGTACAAACTATTTTATAAACTATAACAGATATGTTTAATTTTTTTTATATGCCAACTATTACATGGGGGACTGGAAAGTAATGTAATTTTTTCATCAAATTAAAACAAATAATTTTATAATATATTTTTATATATAATCAATGTTGTAATCACCCTTGTTATCAATGATTTTTTTCCATATAGTTGGCAAATTTTCAAATCCAGATCTGTAGAACAAAGAAGGACTTTCCAACTTTTTTGATCAAAAACCATTTTTGACTTCCACATTTTGAAATTTTCTACCACTCAAGAAATGTTGCAAAGACCTGAATAAATAGTAATCTGATGGTGTGATATCGGGTGAATAAGGTGGGTGAGGTAACACCTCCCATCCCAATTCTTTGATTTTATCCAGAGTCTTTCTTGCAGAATGTGGTTTTGCTTTGTCATGCTGTAGAATTATGCCATTTCTGTTAACAAGGGCTAGATACTTTTCAATCAAAGCTTGGTTTATTTAATCTAATTCTTGGCAATGCAGTTATGGTTTGACCTGGTTCTAGCACCTGAAAATGGATTATGTCCCAAGTATTTTATTAAACGGATAACAGCACCTTTCTAGAGTGTAAGCCTGGCTTTGGGGTAGCTAATAGGGTTTGATTGGGAGAGAGTCATTGTCTTTTATGTTTGGGATTGTGATAAAGGACCCATTTCTCATCTCCATCCACACAATCAAGAAATGCTTCTGCATTATGTTGTTACAACAAATTACAGGTGATTGAATGATTAGCTTTGTTTTCTTTTGACAGAGTGTGTGGAACCCAAACACTTTCTCTATTAACTTTACCAATCTGCTTCAAATGTTCTTGAATGGTGTGTTAAGCTTATCTGATAACTCAGATTGTTTGACAAAAATTTGCTTCCACTTCTACCCGTAAAACATCATCATCAAGAGACACTGGTCTTCCTAAACACGGCGAGTTACAAAGATCAAAATTATCCAATTTGAAACTAGCAAACCACCTTTGGCATTTATTGACACCTAATGTGGCTGGATAAACATCACAAATGTTTTTTGTAGTTTTTGGCGCGTCACTACCTTTCTGAAACTCAAACAACATGCAATGTTGAATATGCAACTCTTCTGGATTTTGGCTCGACATTTCAAATAGGATGTTATAAAAATGAATTTTATCTGTAAAACAAAAGAAAATAAGTCACTTACACTTGCAAAAATATCTTGCACAATTTCAGCATATGCAATCAACTGCATTACATAATCAAACTTTCCAGTCTCCCTTATACATAAATAATAGTTCTTTTGATGTATTACTTGCCTGATTAATAACCAAATTTCCCAAAAACTTTTTCATATTCTCTAACAGTTGGAACATCAGTAAATTAAAAATTACAAACCATGCACACAATCTTCCAACACATAAGTATTTGAATTAAGTACAAAAAATGAAACATTTTCAGTTTGTTTTAGGGGCCTGCATCAAGTGTCAAACTTTACGAACGTTAGCTCTAACATTCGTAAAGTTTAAAGATTTAATGAAATTTCTGAAACCCATTTTATTCCTGATTTCATTCTTTCATTTTTCAACAAGAAAATGAAAGCAAGTGTCACCACTACGTTTTATTAAATATTTCTTTTTTAACTGCAATACAGTTACATCCCCAAATGGTAACATTTTTTACAGATGGTAGAAATTCTGAAGAAGAACCCATAACTATTGGCTTGTCTTAAACTCCATTGCCATGTTAAAAAACTTTGAACATTGTATAAACATATCTATTGCTATATTATATTTAATTTGTATCCCTAATTTGTATGGTGTCCCACACTTTTCCACTTCAGTTAATTTACTGCTTACACAACAAGAAATAAGAACTTTGAAAACAGTTTAAGTCCTTCCTAATATACATAGATGTTAGAAAGATCTTTGTTATTCCAGCCAATTAATATTAATTGTTTAAAATTATATTACACAAATTCAACATTTATAGCCTGTCCATTAAATGGTTCAACAATTAGTTTTTACTTTGTAGTTATCAGATTAGCTTAAGCAACTACAATTTTCAAAATTTTTTTCCTATTCAACAAGAATCATGCTATAAACTGATAAAAAAATTCATACTTTTCAACAAATCAAGAAACTTATAATACACAACAACTTCTGAAGTAATGACTCACAGATTTGGTTTATTTGATTTTCAAAAAATAATCAAATGTTTTGATCATTATAAATATTATGACGACTTAATTTCTTCCACCTTTTTTACTCTTGGAGCACCATCAGTTTCTGAGGTTTGCCGATTGGGGAGAAAGTGTCACGACAATCGAGTGGTCAGCACTGTCGCGTGGGAGTGGTAAACTTACTGAGACTGGTCCTCCATCACAAACTGTTTATTAAATATAAAAATTTCGCTTACAACTACTGTTTTACTTCAGCATAAGGCCTATCTGCAGAGTGAATCAGTTCGTAAATAAAGTTCAATCTTTTCGACGATCTTCTCTCCTTCTGGCGAAGATGATGAGGAAAATGTAGGCTCTGGGGTGCGCAGCACAACTTGAAGGGGTGATTCTCATAACAGAATACACTTGGTGAAACTTGCCAGGATGAGATGGCAAAACTTCTTCCGGAACGACGACCAAGTTTCCATTGTTGAACCGCAGAAAAATCCAGGAGCGGAGCACACCAAACTAAGAACCAAGAATGTCACATCCTTTTTAAGCGCAGTTTTTATAAGTTTTCTCTGAGTCCCAGATCGAACATTCCAATAGGTCGATGCCAATCTTTCCACGCTCTCTAATTGGTCCCCCTCCTCATTACAAATTGTAACAGGATCGGAGCCCAGATCGTGGGGTGAGTCAACACCGACTGATAGTTTGATTCCTATCGAAGATGTTCGATCTAAGCACTCAAATTCATCTATTGTTTCATTCTGAGAAATTCGTTTTTTCTCAGAAATTTGTACAGATATGTCTTTATATGGACATAAAATATTCATTTTGCATTTGATGGTTTCTTTTTACAACATAAAATAATAATTATTATTATTATTAAATTTTTTTTTTTTTATACAAAATTAAAAACATTTTCTGTGCACGAATTTCGACCCACTTCCAGGGCTTCACAAGTTCATATTCATAAAGATCATGCATTCACCAACCACAATACAGATTAAACCTATAATGGTATCCCTCCTCCTGTAGAATTCTGTCTGTCTTTTTGAATATCTTCTCTATATACTTAAATAATTTTAAAGCAATTGGCTATTGCATTCAAAGTTGTGAGTATTTTTAAAGCTGTGTTGTAAAACTTTCAGAGAGAATATGTATGGGAGTTGTACTCAAAAATAAATCTCTTGCCATACATTATGGAATTCTCTGCAGGTTTTGCAGATCCATCTCCGAAACATTTATTATGCTTTTTGTTTTTACAAACTTGTAGTCTCTTGTTGAGTACAGTTTACCGATCAGGACCATGATGGTCCTTTCCTTTTAGAAAAATTCTCTAAAGAACTTGATAAACTTTTCCTAATATTAAATAAACTTGTCATCTACTTATCTGACATCTAAATGTCATCAGGTCCTGACTGGGTCTCCTCTCTTTCAAAGAATTCTTCAAATACTTTGATCTGCTATATATCATAAATATTATAATGGTTGTGTACAGTCCAATTGGCTTTGCAAGTTCTGCTGGCATGTTTTGAACCTAGTGAAGTTGCATAATTCTTCACACGTTTTTATACTTTCTTACTAGACTATTTCACAAATATCTTACTTATTTCTACAGTATTTTACAGTATGAATAATCTCAAATACCTACTTTGTGAAAATTTTATATGATTCAAAAATACTTGTGTATGCATTCTTTATAACTTATAAATTATTTTATTTAATTTGTGGGAATGTTTTATTGATTATGCTTTTATTCCCGCTTTGTCTTTTTATCTCTTAAATAACTTTTGTAAATTTGTTACTGGTTTTACTGGGGTGGAAATTGTCAGTCTGAATCAGACTTTTCCTATTGTATCTAAAATAAATAAACTGTAATGTTGATCATTTCTTGGCACTCCTAAGAGTTGCATGCTCCATTAAGAAGGTACACTCCATAGTTTGAGAACCACAGGACTACATGAAGTAAAAGCAGAAACTAAAATTAGTAGATCACAATCCTAAATATTAATGGAGATAAACATAAATAAACAAAAATAATAATAAAACATTTTTATAACTGTTTTCCCCATAACACAAGTGACAAGCATTATAATAAATATATTAACATGAAATAATTATTTGGAAGAAGAATATTTTTCTAACCATTACTTTAAAGAAGTGCTAGTTTTCATTCTGAGAAAAAAGGTTGAATTGGATTTTTTCCAAATTGTTATTATTGTTTTATTTTACTATTTTCAAATAGTTGTTTTATATTAAATGTGTTTAATTCTTTTGTAAAAATTTATAATTATTTCAGAAATATATTTGGAAATGAATTTCGATAACAACGTCTTTAAAATAACGACCATGTTACATCCATATACATATGTAAATAAAGTACTATTTGGCAGTCAGCAGGGTGAAATGCAACTGTGGAATGTATTAAAAAATAAATTAATATATACATTTAAGGGATGGAATAAACCAATTACTGCTTTAGAACAGGTAAATTTTATTAATATTTCATTAAATGCTTATTAGAAACTAATATAAATTAAAATTTATCATTGAAATGCTTTGATAGAATTTATGTTTATAAACTTAAATAATATAACTCAGTTAATTAATTTCAAGAATTTTTAGACAGTATGGTCAATTATTGGGTGAAATAAATGTGTGAAACTCCTGATTATGAGTCTACTGAAAGTTCTTGGAATTAATCAGCTTTGATTTATATTACTTATATAACTCTGTTTTTGATAGTTATAAATTAGTTTGGATGGTTTGCTGATACTAAAATTTAGAATTTTGTATTACAGTAGAGCATCAATTATCCTAAACAATTCTGGACTGGGGTTGTTTGGATAACTGATCGTGTATGAAAAAATATGTTAACCTATCCCATATTGAAATTTTTTTCTGTTGCGTGTCACTTTGCATTGAATTTTTGTTGATGTTGAGCCTAACAAATATTTTTTAAAATAAATAATCTTGGCTATTGTATCATTAAAAATTATTTCTTTAGTTTGCACAAGCAAAATAAATATATTGAAAAATATAAAACCAAAAAAATTATATTTCAGAAGTTAATCTAGTATCAAAAACGTTCCAATTCAGCATGACACAGTCCTCAGAAAAACGTCATACAAAGCAAGCAAAACTCACCACATACAATGGCAAAAAAGCCTCAATCAAATACTGGTGCATCCTTAAGTACCCTCTCATGGTCATGCCAGTTCCTCCAGCTAAAATACTTCACACCAACAAAATTAATATTGGAAGTAGCCCAAGACATAGCCAAATATTGTAGTACCACAGCACTAGCAGAAATTTGAATTTGCCAACTAGAATGCTTTTGATTAACTGATGTTTCGGTTGATCTGTATTCGGATAATCGATGCTCTACTGTATTTATATGCTATGTAACTTAGAAAGATCTACACTACACAACACCGGATTAAAGTTAATTATGTATCTCAAAACCTGTTACTAGTGTGAAATTAACATCAAAAAACGAAAAAACAGATTTCCACAAACATTTTCAAACCTCCAATGATTATTCTTCAGGTGGCGACGAATTTCTGTTAGAATGCAATTAAATAAGAACATTATTCGAAATTCGCATATACATTACCTGATGACAGATGATATCTCATTAGGCATGCGCGCTATAGATGGTAGCAATTGATGAGAATTTACAGTTCTTTGTCCATTAGTGCTTGCCATGCTATGGACAGATTTAATTCCTCTTTGTGGTTGATACAGTTGTTGTTAAGGCTGGATTTGTAGATATATAAGGCCTCCAACCACCTTAGATGTTCTGTGTGTGGTAAGGTGAGGAAAATTCCCACCTGGTTAAAATCCGGCTCTATGTCAGGATCACTGGCATAGAGCTGGAGTCAGGATCATTTAATGGCATTATAACAGAAATTCGTCACCACCTGAAGAAGAACCGTTGGCAGTTTGAAAACATTTATGGAAATCTGTTTTTCGTTTTTTGTTGTTAATTTCACACCAGTAACAGGCTTTGAGGTACGTAATTAACTTAGAAAGGATGCTGTAGTGAGTTTATTATTGCGAATTGGAAGTACAGTAGACCCCCCTATAACACTTAGATACGTTCCACGTTATTTGAATTTCACGTTGTAGGAATCTTTAAATACATGAGCCAATCACAGCCCGACACGTGTGAAGTTTACGGACTACGGCTGTTTGAAAGGTTTTCTTCCATAAAATTAATCGATTCTAGACTAATCCAACTCAACATTTCCAAAATACGTATATATTTTTTGGAAATAATCCGTATAAACTACGCTATAAACAAAAAATTGTAGGATTACTTACCGAGTGTCAACCATTTGACATCGCCATTGCTAAAGCTTGTTTTCGTCGTGAAGCAGCACACCAAACCACGACCGATTTCTGATAACTTATTTTTCTGCAAAAACTTCGTTGAACTTCGGAGATATCATTAATATAAATAATTTTTATCGCCGTTGAATAAGAAATGTTTCTTTCACAAGAAATGTATAAAATTACAGTACTGTATTAGACTTACGGTACCTATTTACATACTGTACAGACGATAGTTAGCGTAAAATCTCCGTAGCGTGGCGCCACGCTAGACGGCAGAAATTATATATTTAATTATAATAAAGTTACAATAAATTAAGTTAATATATAATTATATATACAGTACCTAATTTATATATAATTATATGTGCAGTACCTAATTTATATATAATACTGTACAGACGATAGTAATCTCTCCGTAGCGTGGCGCTACGGACGGCGGGAAAGTAGTTCGGCTGCCTGATGACGTTTTACGTAATTATAGGAGTTTTTTACCGGTTTTTACGGATACCGTCGCAATTTTTTTGCAGTTTTATAGGAATCGTAATTATAGGGGAACTACAGTAGACCCTACTGTAAAAAAGGAACTACAGTAGACCCTACTGTAGTTCCTTTTTTATTTTCTTTGATGATACCTTTAAAGTTTTCAATTTTTAAGTGAATAATGCATAGGTGAGAGAAATGTGCTCTAGGGTACTGAAAAATATGGCATAAAAGTGTAAAATTGTATAAATGAGAAATGTATAATGGAGAAACTATTGTACAGAAAATATTTAAAGTATAATTGTAAAAATTGTACTATTGAGGAACACATAAATGGGAGTTGATTGTAACTGTTTATTGGTTAAATTACAAAGTTTTCGCTTATCTTACTATTATTTGCTTTTTATTAAAAATTTTCAATATACAGGTTAAATAACTATAAGTAATATGTAAAACTGATATTGTTTACATAAATTGTTATAAATTACAAAATATATGTAGAACAAAAACGACTTCTAATCTTAACACTGCGTTGAGTAATGTAGAACATTATGAACTACTGGTATTGGATTGACAAATGAACTCAGGCAGAATTCCACAAATTAGTTTGGTCCAAAATTTATATGCCAATTCGTGAAAATTAGTTTGTGATAGTTTATGTAGTTATTATTACTTTCAAATGAAATTTTATAAAATTTTTTAACAGGCACCGGCCGAAGACGTTGCTGCCATCGGCCTAGAAAATGGTCAAATAATTATTCATAATTTGAAATATGACGAGACGATTATGACATTCTCTCAAGAATGGGGTTCCGTGACAGCTATATCCTTCAGAACAGGTAAAAAGTAAATTGTTTTGGATATTTACATCATAGATTTACTTGTAAAAAGTTATTAACAATAAAAAAAAAACCATAAGTATTGCTTATGGAAATATTCTTGTCCACTACAAGTTTATGCTGTCAATATTTCTGTAGCTTGGAATAATAAGGGCCAATGCTATGGGCATTTGCCTTTGATCTTGGCCCATGATCTTCCATTATTATTAATTTATAAAAGGAATTAAATAATTTAAAAAATAATATAGTGCTCTTAAGTAATAAAATAACGATTTATTTAACTTAAAATAGATGACTGTGCAATGATGGCCACTGCAAGTTCGGCAGGACACATTTCTGTATGGGATTTGGACAAAAAGAAGTTACACAGTCAAATAAGAGATGCTCATGAAAGCGAAGTGACAAGTCTGAAATTTTTACCTAATGAGCCATTGCTTATTACTTCTTCTCCAGATAACAGTTTAAAGGTAAGAAAAGGTTTTTAATGTGTTTTTCTGTGGAATAGATAAAGAATGAAATAAATGCAAAAAATTTGAGAAAATTTACTTGTAACTCTAGAAAGTTGTCATCAGTTTATAATTCATTTAATGGACATTTTACAGTACTTATCCCTAATTAAGTGATATTCTTTTACAATTGTAAATTCGTCTCTGTAATCCAAAACCACACTTTGGTAGACGTATCTTACAGCAATATCTGGTTAGCAAATTATCTTTTATTTTTCATTGGTCTACAAATATATTTCGGGTTGGTACAATGTATTCCAACCCCTCTTCAGTGATTTTCCAATTTTGTAAATTATAAAAATTGTTTCTTTTTTATCTCAAATTAGGGAGTGGGAGACAAACCGTCCTCATCCCTAATCAATATTTCAACCTAAAATTGTGTATTTCATATTAATATATGGAATACACAATATATGGATTATATGTACAATCCATATATGTACATAGGTGAAACAGGGCGCATGTTAGAAGTTAGAATAAAAGAACATGAAGCGGCAATCAGATTGAAATACAGTAATTCTCTGTGGTATGATCATACAAATAATAATAATTGTAAAATTAACCGAAATAATATAAAAATTCTGCATTTTGAAAAAGATGTTTATAAAAGAAAATTTAAAGAGCATTTAGAAATAAGAAAACAAAAAAATAATTTAATAAATCTCTCAGAAGGTATGCAAATTGATTGCTGCTGGTATGAGTTAATAGATGGCGCTAAAACAAATTGAGATTGTATAGATTTTGTTTAAAAATTGTAAAATTATTTGTAAAAGAACTTTTTCATTGTAAACCTGATAATGGTATAATGTAAATGTTGTTTGTGTATCAAACGGTTTTACATACGTATATTAAGTTTTTACTGGTTTTACTACATCTGTTATACACCCAAGTGTAAAAAATTTTATATGATTGTGAGTATTTTTTAGAAGTTTGTCTGTTGGAATTATAGTTGTTTGAGTTTTTAAATGTATATTAATATGGAATACACAATTTTAGGTTGAAATATTGATTAGGGATGAGGACAGTTTGTCTCCCACTCCCTAATTTGAGATAAAAAAGAAACAATTTTTATAATTTACAAAATTGGAAAATGTAAGTGTTTTTTGTGATTTGATTTGTTTCATGCAATATAACATAGTCATGTTTTAATATTTCTTGTTTTATTTGTACTAGCACTGAAGAGGGGTTGGAATACATTGTACCAACCCGAAATATATTTGTAGTCCAATGAAAAATAAAAGATAATTTGCTAACCAGATATTGCTGTAAGATACGTCTACCAAAGTGTGGTTTTGGATTACAGAGACGAATTTACAATTGTAATATAATATACAGCAAGCCGTTTATATAATATAATGATATTCTTTTGTTGAAGTTAAAATGTGACAGTTTGTATATGAATATTCTTAATAATTCTTATCTTGTGAATCTTTTGTATAGTTTAATAATCATTGAACTAGTCCAAAAACATTGACAAGAATATCTCTTTTCCTGTTATTCTTAAAAACTATTATTAAATAGCATTAGGATAATAATATTTAAGATTAATCATTTTTAGAGGTGCTGTTAGAACTTATAACACCAGCAATTAAAAGCTTAAACATTAATTACAACAAAAAGGTAGATGTTACCTCCAAATGCACTAATAAAGACTGATAACTGTTTCATGCTAGGATAAGATTGTTGACATATAAAAGGAATCTTCACACAGTTAGAATTGTAAAATGGAAGTACTTTGGAGTCAAATTTTCTTTACATCTTATTTTGGTGTAATAATCCATTGAATAGGCCTTGGCACTGTGATAGAGACAAAATTCATTTGGAGGCGACATTTTTTCACTGTAATTGATGTTCAAGTAAAAGACTTTTATTTTAAATGCTGGTATTATAAGTTTTGACAACACTTCTGAAAATTGATTTGAAAGACAACTGCAACAAAAAAGAATATACAGTAGAGCATTGATTATCCGACTCAATTGGGGACTGGGGTTGGTCGGATAATTGAAAAGTCGGATAACCGAAAAGTATGAAAAAATCCATTATTAGTGTAGTATATTATTATACCCCATGTAATTAGTATATTAGTATATCGCTATTAACCTACTTCNAAATTGATTTTAATTTACGTTAATTGCAATATTACTGTTAATACTGTAACTGTAATTGTTTTGTAGGTAAACCACTTCCAGATGATATCACTTCTTTATCTTCTGATGCAGATCTTGTGTACACGGCTTGCAAAGACCAAATATATGCCTGGAAAAGAGGAATTGAGGTATTTATATTATATTATTATTATTATTAAATTTTTTTTTTTTTATACAAAATTAAAAACATTTTCTGTGCACGAATTTCGACCCACTTCCAGGGCTTCACAAGTTCATATTCATAAAGATCATGCATTCACCAACCACAATACAGATTAAACCTATAATGGTATCCCTCCTCCTGTAGAATTCTGTCTGTCTTTTTGAATATCTTCTCTATATACTTAAATAATTTTAAAGCAATTGGCTATTGCATTCAAAGTTGTGAGTATTTTTAAAGCTGTGTTGTAAAACTTTCAGAGAGAATATGTATGGGAGTTGTACTCAAAAATAAATCTCTTGCCATACATTATGGAATTCTCTGCAGGTTTTGCAGATCCATCTCCGAAACATTTATTATGCTTTTTGTTTTTACAAACTTGTAGTCTCTTGTTGAGTACAGTTTACCGATCAGGACCATGATGGTCCTTTCCTTTTAGAAAAATTCTCTAAAGAACTTGATAAACTTTTCCTAATATTAAATAAACTTGTCATCTACTTATCTGACATCTAAATGTCATCAGGTCCTGACTGGGTCTCCTCTCTTTCAAAGAATTCTTCAAATACTTTGATCTGCTATATATCATAAATATTATAATGGTTGTGTACAGTCCAATTGGCTTTGCAAGTTCTGCTGGCATGTTTTGAACCTAGTGAAGTTGCATAATTCTTCACACGTTTTTATACTTTCTTACTAGACTATTTCACAAATATCTTACTTATTTCTACAGTATTTTACAGTATGAATAATCTCAAATACCTACTTTGTGAAAATTTTATATGATTCAAAAATACTTGTGTATGCATTCTTTATAACTTATAAATTATTTTATTTAATTTGTGGGAATGTTTTATTGATTATGCTTTTATTCCCGCTTTGTCTTTTTATCTCTTAAATAACTTTTGTAAATTTGTTACTGGTTTTACTGGGGTGGAAATTGTCAGTCTGAATCAGACTTTTCCTATTGTATCTAAAATAAATAAACTGTAATGTTGATCATTTCTTGGCACTCCTAAGAGTTGCATGCTCCATTAAGAAGGTACACTCCATAGTTTGAGAACCACAGGACTACATGAAGTAAAAGCAGAAACTAAAATTAGTAGATCACAATCCTAAATATTAATGGAGATAAACATAAATAAACAAAAATAATAATAAAACATTTTTATAACTGTTTTCCCCATAACACAAGTGACAAGCATTANTTTATAAAAGAAAATTTAAAGAGCATTTAGAAATAAGAAAACAAAAAAATAATTTAATAAATCTCTCAGAAGGTATGCAAATTGATTGCCGCTGGTATGAGTTAATAGATGGCGCTAAAACAAATTGAGATTGTATAGAATTTGTTTAAACATTGTAAAATTATTTTGTAAAAGAACTTTTTCATTGTAAACCTGATACTGGTATAATGTAAATGTTGTTTGTGTATCAAACGGTTTTATATATGTATATTAAGTTTTTGCTATGTTAACTGGTTTTTACTACATCTGTTATACACCCAAGTGTAAAAAAGTTTTATATGATTGTGAGTATTTTTTAGAAGTTTGTCTGTTGGAATTATAGTTGTTTGTAGAATTTTGTAGATTATCCGATTTTTCATTTAATGTGTGTTTCTTTCTATCATTACATAACACTTTGCAGTGTAGGTTGGGAGGCTATAGGCAAAGTAAAGCCATGCTTTTTAAAAAGATGTGCTATTCTCAGTAGTATAGGGCCCGAAAACAGTATGGGGGTTGTACTAGCCTCAGTTTGTCTTTGTTGTGGAGGAAAGACTGCAGAAACAACTTGTTTTTGACCTGGTTATAGAGATTACGAAACCTGGAAGGAGAACAACCAGCATTGTGCACTGCCCTATTAATAAGTTTCAATTCTTTGTTTACTAATGTCTGGGTGGATGGGAGGAGCGCTTTGCAAATAAAAGAAGTAATTGCGGAATTTACAAAGTGTAAAGGCTGGAATGCAGTTGCAGGGAAAATATGTGGCTCCCTGTTGTTTTTATAGTGTATAGAAAATAGCAGTTCAGGTAATCTGTATATTTCCAGATCTAAAAAAGGAGATTTTGGCATTCGGTTCTTCTTCCACAGTAAAGTTGATAGTTGGATATATAGAAGCTAATGTATGAATAAAGACATCTAATTTGTCTGCAGAGCCCTCCTGCACAAGCAAGATATCATCTACATATTGTAAATACAGGATTGGATAGTGAACAGCCAAAAGGGTGTTGAAAATACTATATTCTATATTCCTCATGATCTCTGACAAAATCGGTAAGAGGGGAACCCATTGGCACTCCCTGAGTCTGTCTGTATATACTACCATTGAATTGAAAATAATTGTTTTCTGTGATGAGAAAGAGATCCTCTTGCAAATGTAACACTTGCGACACTGGGTTTCCAGAGCTAAGTAGCAGTGCATTTACAAGTATGACTGCTTCAATATGTGGCACTGATGGATATAAGGAAACCATGTCAGTTTTATACAAGCAGAACGAGCAAGTGGGCAGATTCTTTAACTTAGCAGAGATGACTGATTTAGCATCCAATGGTTACAAAGTCACAGGGTGGAACTAAAGCTATAATTTGTTTCACTAGTGCTGTCTCTAGGAAGTACTGTACATGGAGTAAGAGCATTTATTAACCAAACGTCTTAATGACCATGCAGGTTTATGCGTCTTTGCCTTGAAGAACAATCTTAGGCAAGCAACATTTGTTGGCAGATTAAGAGGCCCTACTAATGAAGCTACCATTTCTAGAATGCTATGACCTTGCATGTCTTCCTTAGTATAGTCATATAGTCACTGTTGGGTCCTTTTTTAATACAACA